CTAAATAGTAAGAAAAACAATTCCATGAATTTGGCATATCACAGTATGAACAACTAGTTTAAAGCAAAACTAAAAAAAAAAAAAATTAAAAAAAAAAACAAAGCAAAACTCAAATTCTAATTTTAAATGTGGTGGCTCAAAATAAAGAAGTTAATACATCTTTTATTAAAAAGAACTTTATAGTAGTATCTGAGATATAGTTGTTTTTGACAGAAAAATAATTAGTTGTATCAGAATTTTCATCTTAAGGGGACTTTTAAAGATTTTATAACCAAAATAAAAATATAGCCCAAACCAAAATGCAAACAAGTCAATTCTTGAAACTGACATTTATTTTAATGTCATTCATTTTTTTTTAAATAGTGATATCAAGGGAAAAAACGATTTTCAGATACATATTTTTTCTTCTAAAGTTAGAATCTTCTTTTAAAGTAAAGGAAATTTTACAAACGCAAAATGGAAAAGTCTAAATGTTTAGTGTTGGGGCTTGACTGCCCTGTAATTAAGTATAATGATAGCCATAACACGCCTGATGGTTCACTTGGTCAATAAAGTCGTATTTTATAATACCAAATGAAAACTTAGACTCATTTGCCTTCTTCCTCAATCAAGTATTTTAAGAGTGTAATACCAACATTATGAAAGGGTGCAGGAGAGTGCAAATATTGCTACGGATTGAAATCCAAAAATCTTTAAAGATCTAAATATACAAGGCATACTTTGTTTCATTGTGCTTCACTTTGTACTTTGCAAATTTTACGTTTTTTACAAATTGAAGTTTTGTGGCAACCCTGTATCAAAGGAGTGTATTGCCACCATCTTTCCAACAGCATTTGCTCACTTTGTGTCTGTCACGTTTATTTATTTATTTTTTTTAAAGATTTTATTTATTTATTCACGAGAGACACAGAAAGAAAGGCAGAGACACAGGCAGAGAGAGGAGAAGCAGGCTCCATGCAAGGAGCCCAATGTGGGACTTGATCCCAGGTCTCCAGGATCATGCCCTGAGCCAAAGGCAGATGCTCAACCACTGAGCCACCCAGGTGTCCCTCTTTGTCACGTTTAGATAATTTGCACAATATTTCAAACTTTGTCACTATTATTATATTTGTTATAGTGATCTGTGATTAGTGATTACAGCTTGTTGAAAGCTGAGATGATGGTTAGCAGTTTTTAGCAATAAAGTATTTTTTTTAATTAAACAATATTTTTTTAATTGAAGTGTAGTTGACACACAATGTCACATTAGTTTCAGGTGTACAACATAGTGATTTGACAATGCTAACTCCCAAGACGTGTAGCTACCATCTGTCATCATACAATGCTACATACCTTTGGCTATATTCCCTATGTCTTTTATCTCCAGGACTCATTCATTCCATAACTGGAAGCCTGTACCTCTCACTCCCTTTTACCCATTTTGCCCGTTCCCACCACCCCCACTCTGGCAACCATGAGTTTGTTCTCTGTATTATGGGTTTGTTTCTGCTTTATCTTCATTTGTATTGTTTTCTAGATTCCAAGTATAAGTGAAATCATGTGGTATTTGTCTCTCTGACTTACTGAATTTAGCATAATACTTTCTAGGTCTGTGCATATTTGGGCCATCCATTAATACATACACCCACCACATCTTCTTTACCCATTGCTTTATTGATGGCCACTGTAAATAATGCTGCAATAAACCTACAGGTAGGTGTATATATTTTTTCCAATTAGGGTTTTCATTTTCTTAGGGTAAATATCCAGTAGTGGAATTACTGGATTATATGGTACTTCTATATTTAATGTTGGAAACTCCATATTGTTTTCTACATTTCTATCATATGAGGGCTCCTTTTTCTCCACATCCTCACCAAAATTACTTGTCATTTTTTCACCAAAATTACTTGTCATTTTTTATCTTTTTGATACAAGCCGTGACAAGTATCAAGTGACATCTTATTATGGTTTTGATTTACATTTTCCTGATGATCTGTTTACCACTTCTATGTCTTCTTTGGAAAACTGTTCAGGTCCTCTACTCATTTTAAAATCAAATTATCTTGGATTTTTTGTTTTGCTTTGTTTTGTTTGGTGTTGAGTTGTTTAAGTTCTTTACATGTTCTGGATATTAACCCTTCTCAGATATATCATTTGCAAATGTCTTTTCCCAGTCACAAGGTTGTCTTTGTTTTGTTGATGATTTCCTTCACCATGCAAAAGCTTTTTATTTTGCTGTAGTCCCAATAGCCATAAAGTATTTTTTAATCGAAGTATATGCAGTTAACCTTTGGGTAGGGTTTGAACTCCCCAGGTTCACTTATATGTGGATTTTTCCCCAATATATATAGTACAGTACTATAAATGTATTTTCTCTTCCTTGTGATTTTCTCAATAACATTTTCCTTTTATTTTGTTTTGCTTTTTTGGAGAAAGTGCTAGTGCAAGCAGGGGAGGGGCAGAAATAGAGGAAGAGAAGGAATCTTAGGTAGGCTCCATACCCAGAAAGGAGCCAGAGGTGGGGCTCTGCAATCTCACCTCCCTGAAAATACCACCCAAGCGAAAATCAGGAGTTCAACACTTAATCAATCGATTGAGCCACCCATGCATCCCAATGACATTTTCTTTAGCTTACTTTATAAGAATATAGTATATAATACACATAACATACAAATACACATTAATTAACTATATTATCAGTAAGGCTTCCTGCCAACCACAGGCTATTTGTAGCTAAGTTTCTGGGGAGTCAAAAATTATACAAGATTTTCGACTACATGGGAGTTAATGCTCCTAACCACCACATCGTTCAAGGGAGAATTGTACCTTGCTCTTTTAGAAATAATGCTATTGTTGCACCCTTAATGGGCTAAAGTGTTTACAGTGTAAACATAACTTTTACATGTGCTGGGAAACCAAAGAGTTCATTTGACTTGCTTTATTGCAATATTTGCTTCATTGTGGTGGTCTGGAACCAAGTCTGCACTATCTCTGAGGTATGCCTGTGCACTTTTGAGTATTCTAAGTTAATTTTAAGATTAAGTAATTTTATATAAATGGAAGGTAAAGAAACACAGTTCTCAAAAAAAGTCACTGGAAAAGGATTTTTGTAGATCATCTGATGAACAGTCTCCACACAATGTTTGACTAGGTATTCTAAAGGAATTTACATATGCTCCATCAAGTAAACATGAAGGCTATTTTGTTTCTTAAAAAACATATTTTTCTTTCTGATTATAGAAGTAAACTTTCTCTTGTAAAACTTCAGAATAATGAAATCAGTCATATTTTCTTGTCCTTCTACATGTATATTTACATGTACATAGACATGAGTGTGTATTTGACAGCACAGATCTTACTATCTTTGTTTAAAAAAAATAAAGGGATATCTTAGAATATTGAGGCATAGCTGTATAGTCTTAGAAAACAGTAATTATAGGACATATCCTATATGAATTAACCACTTGGAAAAGGAGGTTAGTGCATCGACAAGATAAAGCTAAACACTATTTTTTCTTTTTTTTCCCACTTTTTTTTATTAAAGATTTTACTTATCCATTCATGAGAGAAACAGAGACACAGGCAGAAGGGAGAAGCAGGGTCCATGTGCCCAACGTGGGACTTGATCCCAGGTCTCCAGGATCACGCCCTGGGCCGAACGCCGTGCTAAACTGCTGTGCCACCCGGGCTACCCTGAACACTATTTTCTGTATTACTTGGAGCTGTAACCTATGTTCTAATAGATTCTTTCATTTGTCCTCACAGCATGACACACAGTTAATTCATTAAATCAGCTTTGATTTGTGTTGACCTCTCCTCCCCGCCTTTCCTGCAACATCCAGTTAACAAGTTTAGATCATTTCTTTAACAGATATTTCTTGAACTTAACCCTTCAAGTCTCGTTACCCCTTAGCTGAAGCTTGAGGTCCAACGTGATCTTCTCAGAGCTCATGTTTCTACTTGCTTCTCAGGATGGGTTCCATATCTTGGCCTAATGTTCATTCCCACATACTTCATTCCCTCTGTACCTTTGCTTCTATTGTCAGCACTGCTTGAACTTATCATCCATCCATTGATAATCTTAAATTCCAGATAGAATGAATACATCAAATGCAGCTCCTGAGAACCTTGATATTCTCCTTGTTGGAATGAAGAGTCTTGGATGCAAATCTGAGCCCTACTATTTACTAGTTGGGTAACTCTGTGTAACTTGCTTTCTCTGAACCACAATTTCCTCATCTACAACAATGGTGATTCCAGGTTCACTGTGAAGGTTAAATGAGATATGTTGAAAATGCTTACCACGTGACTGGAAATGTTAGTGCCCCTCACATACTTGTATTGGTTATCTATATAAATCTCTGATTTCTCATTAGCCTGTATGCTCCCCCAAGATCTGGCACTATTATTTCTCTCTTTATCCTTCTAGAACCAATGCAGCAGGTACTCAAACATCTGTCAATAAATTAACATGACACTTGCTGATAAAAGCTACCAGGTCACAGATTATCTAGAATTTCTATTTTCTTGGCTTTAGCAGCTGTGTAGACTGGTACATTTACTTAACCTCTCTGAAATCTGCCTGGCACTGTGCCTAGCATATAGCGGTTAATAAATGTTAGCTTTCTTTTTTCCATTGTTAATTGTTGGCTTATTTCTTTTTACTTATTTTTAGGAGCATTATTTATAGGTAGATTATAAACTAATGAGGAGATGAACGGTGACTTTTCATAAATACAGTTGAACATGTCACAAATACTAGAGGCAAAAATTCTGGGTGTATCATAGTGAAGAGGAAGTTCTCAGTTTAAGTGGTTCTGTGTCATATTAATGATGAAAGTGTCCAATTAAAAAATAAAAACAGAAACATCATGAGTGACCAGTATGGTTGGTAATTTATGGAAGGCAAAAGTTTGTCCCCATTTTTATATGCAGTAGCTTTTTTTAAAAAAAAATTACTTATTTTAGAGAGAAAGAGAAAAAGAAAAAAACTAGTGGGAGAGGGGGAGGGAGAGGGA